GGATTGGCCTAGGGAATTTTAGTGGGGTTTTTAAGAGAAATTTTAATTATATAGGCCATAGCAAATATTTCTTTTTAATTCGGTTTTAAATTAGGTATTTATTGTAGCATTGGTTTTATAAGGCTGTCAGCCGCCCTGAGTCCGGTAAGGAGAAGGGCGGGATATAAATCGAATAAATAAATAAATAAATAAATAAATATGCATAGTAACTCAAATGTGGAAACTTCTGAATCACATGAAAATCCATAGGCCCGTATCACTGAAAATGTATATCAGCATTCAGCCAGATGTATGGAATGCATGCTTGATGGCATAGACAAAGGCTGCACTCCACTTTCTCCCCCAGTGTTTTGTTTCTGCTGTTAGATTTATGAGAAAATAATTCAGAATGGATTAAATTCAGACTGTCCCTGGGCAATTGCACTACTACTTGGTATTTTGTCTGAGGAGGGCAAAATCAATGTTCTTGAAAATATTTGTGAGCTCAGTTTCTGAGTGTATGTAAGCAAAGTATGTAAGTATGTAAGCTGAGAATGCAGGTGCAAAACATATAAATGTCTCTTTAAAATTGGATATGCAACTGTAATTGACTCTTTTAAATCCATTATTAAGGATAATCAATTTAATCTTTTAAATCTATCATTAAAATAATAATTTTTAATAATATAAACATTATTTTCTAAGTGACCAGGTTAGATTGATCATTGATCATCATATTATAGTTTTTAAAATTTATTTTCTTCAGTATTTGTTTTAATTGTACAATTGTACAATTGTACAAATTTTAAAAAGTTCCTTTTCTTCTCATACAGATGACCCAAAATCTTCCTGATATTTTTAGTGATGCTACCTAATATATTTTAAATATATTACTCTATTATCTTGAGCAACCCTAACCCTTGAACTTCAAGCAAGTTTTCATACATAATTAGGAAATTGGGGATAATAAATAAATGCATACTATTTTCCTTTTCTTTTTTAATTTTTTTTATTTTTCATTTTTCCAATTTACAAAACAATAAACATTTTTCTTTTTTTAACAGTATTGTGTCATGTATCTCTTACAGTTATTTACATTTATTGCTATACATTTTTATTTCTCTGTTCTAACCAATTATACCACTTATCCCATACCTCATAAAATTCTGTTTCTTCCTTGCCTTTCATTTCTAGCGTAAGCTTATACATCTCGGCACATTCTAATATCTTATAGATACTGTTTTCCTTTTCTAAATGCAGCAAAGCTATCTTGGAGAATGGACATTACCAAATTGAAAATGTTAAAAATAATATTAACATTATTATTTAACATGAAAAATGATCCTAATTTTTCCTTTGCATAGATAGATAGATAGATAGATAGATAGATAGATAGATAGATAGAGAGAGAGAGAGAGAGAGAGAGAGAGAGACAGACAGACAGACAGACAGACAGACAGACAGACAGACAGACAGACAGACAGACAGACAGACAGACAAAGTCTATATTTCTAGCATCATCAGGCATTTCCCCCCCAAACAATAATTATAACAATGTCTTTATACAGGGCTGGCTATTTGCCCCAGAATATTCCACTTGAAATTATTAGATACCTGTCAAAGGAAAAGGAATTTCTACCTTGGCATGCTGCTAGCCGAGCTCTTTATCCTCTAGATAAGTTGCTGGACCGCACAGAAAACTACAACATGTTCAATGTAAGTAAAAATAAATATACATCTCTTTCTTTTTATCAATCACTAACGTGTTCTCCTCCCTACAAGAACACTAGACTAAACTGCAAGGTGAACTGCAAGTGAGTTCAGGAGTAGGCAATCCCTACCCTCTAGATAATTTGTATCCTCCTATTGTCCTTTGAAATTAGCTGTACTAGCTATGCGTGGTAGAAGTTGACATTCACAACTAATTATTGGAATATAAATTTATATAAATATAAATACACTAGGCTATACACAAAACTTCATGTGCTGTTACATTCTGGATCAGTTGCAACTTCTGAATGTTCTTAAGGGGAACTTTATTTAGAATACATTGCAATAGTCCAAATAGGAAGTAACTAAGGTATAATGATCATGAGCAGAACCTTTTGATTTTGCACACCAACTTTAACTGGGTAAATGCCACAATTTTTAGAGTCAAAATTAGGAAATCTCCAGATCCAAGGGACCTATAAATCCACAGCCACAGTCTTCTAGAATTAAGCTAAAAACTATTCTACCCACTCTCCCTATCCAAACCAGTGCAATCTCTAGATTTTGGGAAAGAATTTTGATAGTATTATCTGGACAATTCAGGGCAGGGATGTAAATTAAATAACATCAATGTTCTGTTGATTTCATGCCAATAGAAGACTTAAGCTAAGTGATTTCATATCAGTGTTAAACAGAACTGGGCAAAAGCACTGAAGCATTCTGTAATGCAAGGTCTAGAGGAGGATCTCTTTCATCAACACTAACTAGAACCAGTCTCAAAAAAAAAGAACTGTAAATCTTAGTCCTGTACTCGAATCCCCTAAGGATACTATGATCAATGGAATCAAAAATGGATGAGAATTGCATCCAAAGCTTGTGTGATCAGTGCCATCTCACTACTATAGCCTGGTCTGAAACATGACTCAAAAGTATCCAGATAATCACTTTCCTCCAGAATGTCTAGAGCCAAGGTCTGCTTATATCTTTTCATCTTCAGTTATGCAGCTATGTAAAGATTATCCACTCTTACACTATATTAATGCAAAATGTTTTTTAAAAAGTTATATTTTGTTTTTAACATGCTGGTCGTAATAATGAAATTGCAGTATGATTTATTGATGAAAAAGTCACATATTATAATGATGTAGAAGGTAAAGAGTCAAAAGTAGAAAATTGTCACATTGTCATTCATTTAAAAATACCAACAATTTAAAAGGACACTGAAAGGCAGACCTCATTAAATTGTCTAATCCTGATATGCAGTTCATATTATTCAATATTATATCAATTGGGTGAGTCTTTGTAGTGATTTTGCCACTCTCCCTATAAATCTACACCTCTAAAGACAGAGAAACCCATCAGTTTCATCACAATATGTGGCCCAAATCTGTCACTTGTAAATATTTAATAATGGACATTACTGAAACATGTACTTCCAAGTCAAGGATAGCCTGCAATAGCAAATATTTAACATGTTTAAGCACCAGGAGCTTTTCAGGTATTTTCATACTGAGATTAGAAAACTTGATCCAATGTTAAGCCCTTTCTAAAGATAGTTATTTCAGAAAGGAATCCAGTTTCTACGAAGGAAGCAAGAAATTTGTTCCATTTTCTATTTTCTTTCTGCAGCACTTTGTACCCCCTGAAATCTTGAATGGATTTAACAGTCTGACCATGAACATTAATTTTTCTGCAGAAGGTTGTAGTAATAATAATAATCAAACCAAAAATCCAAATTCCAATATTATATGCAGACCTTGTAAAGAAAAAGATGAAGCCATGGATCACATAATTAGTGAATGAAGCAAAAACAAATATCTAAAACTGACTATGAACAATGTTACGACAAAAGTAGCCACTATGAGGCATTTGTAGCACTGCAAATACTATAATTTCTTACTTTCCTGAATGTGGTACGAGCACAAAATCAACACGCTAAAAATGATTATAATTTTTAAGGAGATGTTGATGTACAAACCGATCCATATCTAGAATACAGCACTTCATGTATAATACTAATTGAAAAGAGTAATTTTTAAATGTGGCAATAACCAGGAATTGAGAAAAACCAATTGGAAAAAAATTAAGACCCATAAGATAGCTGTGATACTGGGAATAGAAATTTAAGGTAGTCTTGGTCAGGAAAAGAAACCCATTCAATAACAGCAGTTATAAAATGTGACCTTCATCTTTTTATTAATAAAATTCAATATGCAGGAAAGGAATTTATGCATAATGTAGACTGATACATTTGCTTGGTTTGAACAGGATACAATATCTGTATTGATTATGAAAATATTTAATGCAGATACTTTTTTGCATTTCAGGAGTACATTTTGAGACAAGTTGTTTCAATGTATCTAAAGCTGGGATGGCCAACGAATAATGTGGAGAAATCTTTGGTTCAAGCTTCCTACCAGCATGAGTAATTCTATTTTTTTAAAATGTTGCAAAATAGCCTTAATGAACTGAATTCCCTAAACTTAATTCAAAGTGGTAATCAGATTTAACTTTTATATCTTTTGTTTATTTGGCACATGAATTCATTGGAAGGCTTAAATGAATTTTCTAAATTCATATTGTGTATTCCCCATTATGATGTTGCCTCTTTTTTCTAGAATTTCAAAGAGTCATTGTTTCTAATAGTAAATTAATTCTGACTGCATTTTATAATAGAACCTTTGATAGATGGAGGTGCTTCATGGCCAGAACTTCTGCTCCATCATTGATTATTGTTGTTTAACAATTGTTGAACAATTGTTGTAACATAGTTCATATGAATGTCCTTATTAGTTTAGATAGTGTTTCTCAAACATGGCAACTTTAGATCTGTGGGTTTCAACTCCCAGAATTCTTCAACCAATCATGCAGACTGGGGAATTCTGAGAGTTGAAGTATATACATCTTAAAGTTGTCAAGTTTGAGAAACTTTGGTTTAGATCTTCGCAACAGTGGTGTATTTTCCCCTGAGAATCTGAATATATTTATTAACATCAGGTTAATGCTAGTTTTGTTTGTCTTTGGGATACACAGGGAATTCCGCCGTGAAGTGATCATGCTGGCATGCAGCTTTGGTAACAAGCATTGCCACCAGCAGGCTGCAACTCTAATCTCTGACTGGATCTCCAGCAATAGAAACAGGTAAAAAAATGACATCCTACATTACTCCTTTTCCCTGTAAAGATTGTTTCATCCAAAATTAATTTTACTATGGAGTGATGTGCTCATGCATGCATATTAATAATAGTTGGAAGGAAGATATTTTGTGCAAGAAAAATGGTGTGTGTGTGTGTGTGGAGAGAGAGAGAGAGAGAGAGAGAGAGAGAGAGAGAGAGAGAGAGAGAGAGAGAGAGAG